AGCGAGAGTGCTAAGCCCGCGGAGGGAGGGAGGGAGGGAGGGAGCGAGGGAGCGAGGGAGCGAGGGAGAGAGCGAGAGACAGAGAGAGAGAGAGAGAGACCCGCTGCATATACGAGGACCTTCATTGGCTCAGATATGAAGGAGGTATTGATGCAGTGCGTCTCCCTGTGGGCTTTTGGTGCATCGACGACTTTGCCAAAGGGACTCCATTCTTGTCAACCCAGCGCTATGTAGATGCTGTGTTCTGAGCCCAGTTCTTTTGACCGTTTTGGTGTACTGAGTCAGGATACATCGAAAATCATTGAAACATGTCGAGTGTTCTATGCAGCTTCAGACACAGCATGGCAGTTCACCACCCTCGAATTAGTCCTAGCCACGCCTCTCATCACTCGTCCTAGCATGTCATAGCATCCTTTGAACATTTTGTAGGTTTGACTGGGCGGAGAAATATGGCCTGAAGATTTTGCTGGAATTGCATGGCCTCGTCGGCTCACAAAATGGAGAGCATCACAGTGGTGAATGCAGACCGCTCTCTTGGCTGCAGCCTGCGAATCGCAAGAGCCTTGACAAATCACTCGGTTTGCGAAACGCCACACGGGACGTTTGGGGTTTCGTGCAACCCCACCACCTCTGGGACATCGCTGGTTTCGTGCCACAGACTGAGGAGAAATCTCGATGTGATTCGAGCTTGTGCTGAGCGTTGGGGCTCTCGAGAGTCTTTGCTCGGCTTTGGACTGGGCAACGAGGTGCGATGGGACCGGTGGGGCGAAAGAACCCGGCGCTGCATGTTTGGTGAAGAGTGATAAAGATGATGAAGCCCATCCATTCAGCCGCCTCAAAAGGGGGTTGGGAGAAAAAGCTCATGGTATTTGTATGTGAGAGCGTGCCAGGAATTTGCTATGGTATACGTTAGTTATCAAGTTGTCATCTTTGGAATGGACTTTCAACTTTTCGTAAACTGTTTGACATTGTTTGTTTGTGGACGGCGGGGTAGGTGTTGCTCAAAGATAGGTTTGGATCCAATGCTTGCGGCCAACTGAAGTTGTTTTGTTACTTGTTGATTTGCGGAACCAAAGTGTTTTTGTTCCGTTGATTTTCGTGGTCCACTCTCTCCTTTCGACTGGTTCTTGTTTCTTTTGATCTTGGGTCCTTTGTCAAGAAAGCTGTTCTGTTTTGTTGTTTTGTAGGGGCCCGAAGGCAGATTTCTTGGGCAAATCTCAATGGCCTGATGTCATCGAATTTAAGAATCAATTTGATTTAGTTGTGATTTAGGTGTGTGTTTTGTCATCCCTCGAACCTCGTGTGATCTCATTGTGCGTTTCCTTGCAGTTTGATTCCTGATCGAAGCATGTAGCAGGGATATCATGCCGTGCACTTTGATTATCCTGTTGGATATATTGTGAGGGGTGGGTCCTGCTAAGATAACCCGTATGTGTTTTGACCTTTTCTCGATGCACTCCTGAAAAGCTGCTTCGCTCTTAGGCTGCCCGGCCACTTAGGTGGGAGAAAAAGAGCCCACATGGCTCGACCAGCTGGCGACAAGGCAGCAGGAAGCGACCAAATTCATCTCGGCCACAATTCCGTGGTGGGGAGGGTCGATGATCCGATTTGGCCAAATCTTGGGTCCAGCTTGGACGAAAAGCCCAAACTTCTCCCACCACGTGCCATCACGTGCCTTCAAATTGCATTTGCTGAGGTTGCATTTCTGAATCTCGGGTATTTCGATGCAACACGATTCTACTGGGATGCTTGGCAGCTGAAGACTCGGACGACGTTTGTCTGAAGACTTCTCCAAACTCTCGGAGCTTTCTGCGGTGGTGTTGAGTTCTGTCTCTCAGGTAAGCCCCCATGGCCAGAGGGCCACAAGTGTCTCCCCCAGCTCCTAGGCATCAGTGGCGGACTTCTACACGGAGGCTGCAGGTCTTGTGCAGAAGTACTTGCATCCTGACGCCATCCTGGTTCTTGGGCAGCATGCCTCCTTGAAACTCACCCATAAATTCCCACATGCGTAAGAATATGGAAGAATGAATTGCCCCAGGTCCTCGACACTTGCTGGGATATGGAGCGCTGGACCATGGAGGCGTTGCAAAATGCACATCGCCTGAAAGTCTGGCGTGAACCCATGGGGTTGGCCGAGTCGAACAGGTTAGTTTGACATATAAACGAGGGCTTCAGCACCTGCCGGTGCATACACAAAAGGACTGACCTCCCAAGTCACTACTTGGTGCTTAGCATTGGCGATTTACGACCCCGGTGGTGTTGCCAGATGGGCCAAGGTACCGGGGAAAATTTGGCTAGACTATCACCACTACCAGTGCATGGGAAGCGAGCCTGGCAATGTACGCGAGCACTGCCAGGCCAGGCATGGAACAGCCACGAATATGGCTTCAGCGCAGCATCGGACCACCCTGAGGCACTGGAATTTCAGGAACTGATGACGGAGAAGATGCAATCACTTCCTGTGCCACTTGCACACCGAACCAGCGAAAAGCCTGACCCCAGGTTATGTTTTGGCACATGGACGAACGGACAAGGACTCTGCGAAGCAAGGGAAGTGGCCCATTCCGAGGATCATTGGCGAGTTCTCCTTGGCTTTGCAGCCCAATGCTGAGGGATATGGAGATGGGACGTCTTGGCCAAAGCGGTTTTTCCAGAGGCAAGTGGGCATTGCTGAGAAGCATGCTGCCTGGCCAAGCAGATTTCGGTGCTTTGTTTCTTTTTACGTTTTATAGGTTCAGAATGGTTCAGATGTCTATGACAATATTGAGAAATTTGAGAGGCTCGGCAGTGACTTTGGCTGCAAACCCAGGCCGCCGCATGGTTCTTTTGGAATTACAAGATTGCCCGTGAAGGCTGGCCACACTGGAGTCCCTCAGCAGGCATTCGATGTTTTGCGTCAGTGAGGCATTTGCAGATCTTTCTCCATGTTTATCTGCAGCCGAGGCTATCGGGAGTCAGTGGAAAGGGGCTGGATCGAGCCACAGCTTTTCGGAAAACCGGGCCATAGCTAGACCATGGCAAAATGCATAGCCTGTGGTCGCGCGGTGAGCGATGTTTCAGCACCATCCCCGTCGGTGAGCGATGAAAGCGGGGGGAAGATGAAGATACAAATATATATATATATATACACTCCCGTCATGTGATGTTGCTTGATTTTGTTGTAATGTCCTATCACTGATCGTGTTTTGGGAGGTTTCATTTCAAACGGAGCCGACTCGCACAAAGGGAGGCCTCTAGCGACGTTTTTTGCATCGCTGGAGCTCCCACGAAGGGGTTATGTAATTGGTGCTTGGAATGCGAGGGGGCGACCTCAGCCAGCGGAATAGAGCTCGGGGCAAGGGGAGCTGTGGCGAAGTCGTGGAGAAGATGGCAGAGCACATGGTCACCTGAAAATGTAGATCTGCAGTACAATGATCTACCAAAGCAATAGGCCTATTGTCCACCCTGTGCTGTTCATCAAATTTCGCTCAACACCTGATTGCTAAGCACTGCCCCAAAAGTTCTCAAAAGTGCTAATAGGCGTGCAGCGCAGAACAGCGCTCCGCAGAACCTCCTGCACCAACTGCAACCTGGTTCGAAGGTATTTGATCTGTTGTGGAGGTGTGAGGGGTAACACTCCCCAAGAACCCTTCTCAAGACAGTGTGTCGTAAGACAGAATGGTGATTGATGATACATGATGATACAATTCTTTTGTCAAAGTTGGGTTGCAGGCCGAAGCTCATTGGAGCTCAATTAGAATTTCAAACCGTTCTGGCCCCGCCAGAAGTGGAATCAAGATGAATTCTTAGCCGTGGCCATTGCCACTTGAAATTAGTTTGAACTTTGGCATGTAGGAGGATGAAATTTGGGCAGTTTGCACTTCAAGAATGTCGTCCTGCTTTCTAGGTAGCATATCCTCCTGCCTCTCACTGTGCAAGCCAGTGTCGGCGACTAATCCAATTCTTGGGACAGCCGCTTGTCCCCCGAATTTCGCGGCATGGGTCGACAAATACAGCTCCGTCTCTCAGTATCACTGGACCATCTATTGCACGCTTGAATTCCTTGAGGTGGGCTCGACCTTGACGCACCTGTCACATTTGAATGCCACAGCAGCTGGTTATTTCTTGAATTCCTTCGTTCGAAGGGGTGTACAGTGCTTTCATCCTTTGCTGCGCGATCTCGTTTGTCCAAGATGGCGTTGCCATTGCCAGCCTAAGGCTGGTGTCTAGATGTGTCTAGCTCCTTGCACAACAAGTATGCTGCTTTTCACGCAGCGAGCACCGCCACCTTCACCTCCAGACTTGTGATGTCATGAATTCCACCACTAGCATTGAGTAGCAGGCCGGAAAGCACTCTTATGTCTTATGTCAAAATCGCAGGCTGCGAGCGGGGGGCGGTTCGAAGCCTTTGCCCAGTCCGTTTGGTTGGAAGCTCTGCGTCTTCCTGAATGTTTTGGGTGCGATACACAGCGCCGCAAGTCACCGTCGGCAACTTGCAAGGCACATATTGTCAGACACGAAGGAATCACATGGAACACCGCAAAACTCAAATTGACTTCCACACGATTTGGGCCCTCGACGACGACATTCCTCCACGACTACATGAGTGTTGCATAAAAAGTCAACATGTCAGGAGTTCCTCGTGCATTGCTTGAACTGACAATTCCAAAGAGGAGGGATGAGCACCTGCAGAGCTAGAGGCAAAGGTGCAGCGCATGCAGCGCAGTGAAGGTAGCATCGTTCCCGGCAACCAGAGCCCTTGAGGTTTGCCGTCGCTAGACTGAGCTGGAAGTATCTCAGGATGCGCAGCAAGCACTAGAAGTTTGCAGCTGCGGCCGGATCTGACTGGCAAAGAGCCAAAAAGAGCGGATCTGATGAACGTTACCTTAAACGCGACCGCAGGGTTCTTGCTGTTCATGAACGCTCATGGACTGAAATAAGACAGGAAGGCCAAGGGCCATCCAGATCACAACATTCCTTTCAAAGAAGTGGACTTTGCTCTGTGTATTTATGAACGTCAGGCATCTGTGCAGGACAAGCAAGCAGAGTAGGAGTCTCAGTTTATGTCAGCTTCCCAGCGCTTGAAACATCAAACTCACCACTGTCGGGGTGCCAAGGCTATCAGAGGCCATTGCAACCCTATGCGCCTTCGACATCTCCGAGATCGTTGGGAGACCCGGTGTGGGAGAGTGATGGAAAAGTCCTGGGTGAACCTTGAAACGGTGCAAAAGAAAAGAGAGGACATCCCAACTGAGCGCGTTTTGTTTCCACGTGTGTTTCCACCACGTGTGTTTCCACGACCCCGCCGCTCCGTCTGGAACTTCGTGGTCGTACGGGATCCGTGCGTTTTTTTCTCTTCATCGGAATGATCCACCCGTGAGGCTCAAGTCTGGTGGACGGAGGTCAGTTCCTTCAAGAAGGCACCCGTTCCTTGGGCCGCGTGCCTTTGACCAAATCCAGGGTATGAAGAAAGCAGTGGGAGAGAGAGAGAGAGAGGGAGGGGCAGGGAGGAAGAGAAAGAGGTGTAGGTATGGAAATTGATGTTGGATTCATGAATATCCATGAGGTGTTTGGAAAGCCCATCATCAATTCAACTGACGGCGGTTCGTGAGGAGAACTTGAGAGCAGAGGATTCACGCGTGAAGAGGCACGAGTTGCCCAAACACGTTGAAACATGTACCGTACGCTTCATTGAGCTGAAACGGCCTTCAGTTTGGTGAAGCGGATCCTGGTTGAAGACGAGGAGCCCGTGATAGGCCGGGCCATCTTGCCGGAGCAAGTGTGAGCTTCAGTCATTTGCGTCAGAGCGATTGGCCTTTTTGATGCGGTTTGTATCTTTGTGGTGCCACATCTCGGAAACCCAATGGAAACCCGGAAGCTCGTACATACTCTCACATACTCTCCATGAAGACCATGTCTATCTTCACCGCTTTGCCAGGTCTCGTGGCTCACTCCATCCTTTTTAAGCGAATGATTCAGCTCTTCTGGCCCAAAGATCGGCTACGTCAGGAGAGGCGTTTTCCAAACCAACTGGTCGAAACGCTAGCCGCTAGCCGGCAGCCAACCGGCTGGAAATGGGCCTAAATGGCTCGCCTTAGCTAAATGGCTCAACTTGTGGGGAGCGAGAGACAGAGACAGAGAGAGAGAGAGAGAGTTTGCTTTCTTGTGGCGTCTGGAAAATGTTCCCATCGATCATTGCTACTTCACATCAGCTCAATTGCTCTCCTTCCAATGGAAACGCACTTACTCTGAACATTGCACTCCCTGAAATACTCCTGGAAGTGGATGGCATGACCCCTTGCATGACCATTTTGCCTCTGCAAACAGATGGCTTTCCACTTGCATGATTACTTCAGGGAGTGTAACCATAGTCGTTTGGAAGGGCTTCCGGCTTCTGTTCACAGCCGCACCGTGGCCCAGGAGGAGCTTCGAACGGCACTTCGAAATGGGGCACAGAAGCAGGACACAGTGGATCCGTTCGAAGACAAGGCGGCTTAACGTCTCTGTGACCCTGAAAGATGTTGGATCATCTTCAGTGCAGACATAGATAGACAGAGATAGAGGTATTTTGATTGATATGCTGAAAAAAAAATGTTGTTTGGGAGGACAGATTGGAACGGCGAAACCAAGGAAAGAGAGAGAGAGAGAGACAGAGACAGAGGGAGAAAGAGACGGAGGGACGGACGGACGGACGGACCGACAGACAGACAGACAGACAGACGGAGAGAGGGAGAGAGAAGAGAGAAAGAGAGAGAGAGAGAGAGAAGAGAGAAGAGAAGAGAATAGAAAAGAGAAGAGAAAAGAAAAAAGAGAAGAGAAAAGAAAAAAGAGAATAGAAAAGAAAAAAGATAACAGAAAAGAGAAGAGAAAAGAGAAAGGAGAAGAGAAAAGAGAAAAGAGAAAAGAGGAGAGGAGAGAGAGAGAGAGAGTTTGGCTGTTGCATTCGTTGAAACGTGACTGGCCAGGTGATGAATTGCGGCACCTTGGTTTTAACCTTTCGATACCACTCTGGAGGCTGTCCGTGGGTCGTTCCGCAGATGTATGCCGCCCTTTGACGGTCGGAGAGTCTCAGAAGCGCAGGAGCGGAGATTGTGAAAGCAGTCTTCCTTTTCGATGGTCACATGGAGTCTGCCCTGGCTAGGGATCGACAAACGCAGGAGCCTGGGAGAGAGAGCGAGCGTCAAATAGACAAAGCTCTATGCCGTTATGAAATCCAAGACACATTGATTTTTTCTGTAGGCATGCCGTAGTCAAGTTCCCTCAAGCCCAACAGGTGACATAGCCATACACATCCTCGAAATGATTCTTTTAGTCTTGTGTTGACGTGTTGGTTTGCATGGGCATTTTTGTTTGAGGACCCTGACGATGTTGAGATCCAAGAGGATTCGGATCGCTCACCTCGACCGGATTCACCCGAATTGCTTTGAGGAACCCAACTGATCAAAGGTCAGAAATGGGCCAGGTCGGCAATGTCATCCGACAAGGCAAGGGAATCCAAAAAAGAATTGAGATGGCTTCAATATTCACAAGTTACAAGATGTTAAAAGCCCATTCAACTACCACATAAAGCCTGACACAGATGGCCAATGGTTTGTGCTTATGGATTCAACAACATATATTAATATATAGATTGATATATATAGGAAGAATTAGGGAGAGGAAATAATATAAAATAATACATATATCATACAAATTCAAATTTTATGTTCAAATAGAATATTCCAAAAATTTACAATTTGATGTCTTAAATATATATATATATATAATTAAAAATAAATATATTATCTATATAATATATAGTAATATGTACGAAAATATATGATAGAATAGAATAAATATAAGTTAATCGTATTATATTTTTATATGTTTTTTCTATTGAATTAAGATATATTATGCGAAAAAGGAACGAAGGTTTTTTGATCCTCTTCTTTTGAATTGAAAGCATTGCTTAAATCGATTCGTGACCTTTGGATTATTTTCGTGGATTTTTATGCGACATTGATATTTGGTGCAAAATGTTTTGTATTTTGTATAATGGGGGTTTTAATTATTACGAAAGGCAGCCTTCGTAGAAGGCGGTAGCGGAGTTGTGTTTGGCGAACGAAGTGAGTAGTTAGGGGGTCTGGGGGGATGGCCCGAGAATGGTATATGTGATTTCGTGAGGAAATCGTCCACCATGTCTTGAGACCATGGTATGTTTTATGTGTTTCCTTTCTGTCCAAACCGCCCTCCATAATAGCGGTGGGATTCGGCCGATCACTTGGCCATGGCAGCAGAAAAAGGTGCGTGACTTCGAGGGCATTGCATCGTACTTCGTCGACTTGGAACTTCGAGTGTCCAACCTCCACTTTCATTCGCTTCGGCTACTAAGAAAGTGACATTGGTAGCGGAGCTCCCTGGTCGAGGGAGCTCCCGCGCCACTTCGCTACGACAACCACTACCACCAACATATACAACTACCACCTCACTACAACTACACCCGATTCTTCTTGCTGGACGAGACCTTTGTCCTTGTCCCCTTGGCAGGTGAGTTCACGCAGTGCAGCTGTTGCTCCACACCTGTTGAGCTTCTTCCTCGCCGTGGACGGCGATGGCTTCAGCTGAAAAGGAAAAGAAAGCTGACCTCGACTTCGTGTCAGCTCGGGATTCCTACATTCCCCTGTTTGATGGTACCTTGAGTGGCTACCGTGAATGGCGCAAGAGGATTCTCATTTACTATAAGAAGATGTATTTGAGCAAGCGCCAGGGCGAGGCCATTTTGAACTTGCTTGGTTCTTTTAGCGGCACCGCTTGGAAACTATGCGAGGACTTTGACATCGAGCAAGCAGAGAACGACAAAGCATTGGATCACATCCTGACTCGCCTTGACTCTGCCTTTCGCTACGACAGCAAGGTTGAGCTTCCTGCGGACTTCTCCGCCTACTTTGAGCACCTTCAACGACGGCAAGGTCAGACTCTCCTCCAGTTCGTGACGGACCATGACGACAAGCTGAAACAAGTTGAGAAGCACGGAGTGAAACTTCCCGACACCGTGCAGGGCTGGCACCTTTTGGCCAAGTCCGGATTGACCCGGGAGCAGAAGCAGATGATCATGACGCAGTCTGCGTCTCTTGAACGTGCAAAAGTCCAACAAGCCATGTATGCAATCCTGGGCCAAGACTACAAGGGTGGCGGACAGTCTGTCAACAGCCGTTGGCAGCGCCCCTTCAACTCGACCGGTAAGGGTCGAGGCTACTTTGCTGGTGATGATGCAGCTGACCCCACCTGGGATTCTCCGTCTGTTGACTGGGAACCCGAGGATGAGGGCACCTACTACCTTGACGATGAGCAGGGTGATGAATGGTATGATGAGTTTGATGATGATGCCGCCTACTTCCAAGAAGAGTGCGACTCCCAAGAGCATGATGGTGAATTTGATGTCACCGAATACGATGAGGCCTATGCCACCTACACGGATGCCCGCAAGAGGTTCAATGACCTCAAGATGAGCAGGGGTTTCCTGCCAATCGTGGCCCTACAGGATCAGTCGTCTACAGCGACTTCATCCACACAAGCCACTCGACCTCCTTTCAGCAAGGGCTATGGTTCTGGCTATGGAAAGGGCAAAAAGGGCAAATCCAAAGGAAAGGGCAAGGGCAGCACCTATCGCTACAACAAGCCTCCAGACAAACAAGCTGATCCCAAAGGTCGTGCTCGAAGCGCCTTAGCTCCTGCGTGCATGCGATGTGGTTCAACCGCACATCGAACTGCGCAGTGCACCGCTCAGTCCGGCACTCCAAAACCTTCGACGACATCTTCAGGCAAACGCCAAGCAGTTGAGAGTGTCGCATCACTTGCAGATGAGCAGTCCTTGGTCATCTTCGAGGACTCCTACGGACGAGAGCGACCCGATTGCGCAATGCTTGACCCTGGAGCATCGAGCTTTCTCATGGGCAGTGGACCTCTTGTCAGGTATGTGCACCACCTGAAGCAGCTTGGCTTTGACACCAATGACCTCCAGTTGAACCGCTGTGAACGAACATTTCACTTTGGAGGAGACCACCAAAAGGTCAGCACGTGGACCTGCAAGCTTCCGTTCTACATCAACAACACCTATGGAGTGGTGCAAGGATTTGTTCTGAAAGGTGAAACGCCCATGTTGATCGGACGACCTGTCATCCAGGCCTTGGAGATGACGATCGACTTCTCTCAGCAGCGTCTGAAGTTTGGTGACCGTCCTTGGCAACAAGCTGTTCTCGGCAAGCATGAGGAATACCTCCTAGCTCTCACGGACACCTTCGACACTGACCAACTATCCATGGAGCCTAGCTTTGACCTCCAGCTTGAAGAAACCCTTGGTGACTCAGGCACCTTCGAGGACTTCCTCACTGAAGAGCACATCTATCATGTGGAAGAAGTCAGTGAGGACCAAGGATCTCTAATGCCAGTGAAACGCTGGAAGACGCTGATCTCCAACTCTCAGACCCAGCTGAATAGACTTCATGCCTATGTGGACAACGTGTTGCGTGAAGAAGGACACCCTCCACCTCGAGTTCTTTGGGAAGTCTATGCTGGCAAAAGCAGACTCTCGCAGTTGGCCGAAGCATTGGGCATGAAGGTTGAAGTCTTCTCCTTCGCCACTGGTTGGAATTTCAGCTTGGCTAGTCACCGTGCCTCGTTCATGCAGCGCCTCCAAGAAGAAGAACCCGATGAGCTCTTCCTGTCGCCTTCCTGTGGTCCATGGAGCAAGATGCAGAACATCTCGGCCATAACTGAGCAGAGAAAAGAAGCACTTCATACCCTTCGTGAATGGCACCATCGAGTGCACCTTGGTTTCTGCAGACATGCATACTTGCAGCAGGTGAGGAGTGGACGTCATGCACACCTTGAACAACCAACCCAGGCACTCTCCTGGAGTACGAGCGCCCTAAAGCACCTTCCTGGTCACAATGCTCGCTTCCACCAATGTCGTTATGGTTGTGTTTGCTGTGATGCTGACGGAGTTTGGCGATCCGCCAAGAAAGACACAACCATCCGCACCACCAAGAGAGCAGTGGCCGAAAGCATGAACCTTCTTTGTGATCATAGTCATGAACACTGTCGCCTTGAAGGACACATCCCTGGCATTGGCAAGAGAACTTCATACATGGAAGACTACCAACCTGCCTTTGCAGCAGTCCTGAGCACCGCAATCAGTGCCTGTGAACGACCACAAGCTTGGGACGGGGCCTATGCAGTCCAAGAGATGCAGTCCTATCTGGGCAAACTGGTTGATTTTCATGCCGAAGGAAAACAAGAAGCCTTGAGGGTAGTTCAAAAGCTTCACCGAAACCTCGGACATCCATCAGCTCAGTCCTTGGTTGATCTTCTCACAGCCCGTGGAGCTAGCCCTACAGTCCTCTCCGTGGCTGAGAACTACCTGTGCTCCTCGTGCTTACGCTATAAGAAACCCAATCAGGCAGCGCCTTCGTCGATCAAGGAAGCCCAGCACTTCAACCAGGTCGTACAGAGTGATGTTTTCTGGATTAAGTTGGGCAAGAAGAAGATGCCAATCCTGGCCATCCTTGATGTTGCCACTCGTTTTCAAGCAGCAGCCTTGTTGGACAGCGAACGCACTCAGGACTACATCAAGGCTCTTGAACGACATTGGGTAGCTCACTTTGGCGTGCCTCAGCAACTCATCACCGATGAGGGTCGTGGCTGGCTCAGTGATGATTTTGGTCAATGGATTGATGAGCACAGCATTCTCCACAACGTGGCACCTGGTGAAGCGCATGAGCGCCTCGGACATGTTGAGAGACGCCACTCCGTTTTGAGAAAAGCTCTCGAGGTCTACATGCATGATTTGAGTCTCGATGATCGTGATGGTGTCAAGCAAGCACTCGCCTATGTCTTGCCTCAGCTCAATGCTCAGCCTACCGTGTCCGGCTACTCTCCAACTCAGTGGGTGCTTGGATACCAGCCTGCACAACCTGGTCTGCTCTCCTCAGCCGACTGTGCACTGAAGACCTCCGACGACTTTGAAGAACACCTACATCGACGCAACATGGCAAAGACCGCCATCATCCAGGCGGACACCGATCGTCGCTTGAGGCGTGCACTGCTGAGAAGATATGCAGGTACAAACCAACGCCTTCTACCTGGACAACTTTGTCATTACTGGAGAGATGCTCAACAAAATGACCTGTGCAAGATCAGGTGGCGTGGTCCTGCAAAAGTAGTCTGTGTCGAGGAGAAAGACGGCATGCCATATGTCTATTGGTTGGCCCACAAAACTCAACTTCTCCGTGCAGCACCTCATCATGTGAGGCCGGAGTTCAACCATCTCGAGAACACGGCAGTTGAGAACCTTGAAGATGCCAACCGTACCCTGCAGTCCTTGAAGTCTCGTGGAATCACCCGCTTCATCGATTTGGACAAAATCAACCGACAGAATCTCCTGGACGTGGATGAACATGAAGAAGAAGAAGATCTCGATGAGCCTGACTCCAAAAGACGTCGACTGGATGACTTGCCGCTGGACCCTGAGGACTACACTCCGTCCATCCCTGATGAAGACCTTCACATGACTCCAGCGGAACATGCAAGGGCTCCTGATCTACCTGGACCTTCCGCAGAACCTGAAGAACCAGAGCCTCCAGCATCAGAGTCTCAGACTCTACCTGTTGCTCCAGCTCCACCACCTCCAGCTCTACCTGCAGTACCAGAGATCAGTGATCTGGAATCAGAGCCGTCAGCCGAACCGGTTCCACCGACACCGCATGCTAGCTCAGAAGCTGCTCCATCCTTGGACCCTGTCACTCAGGCTGCATTTCGAAAGCCCGAGAGCCCAGAAACCTTTCAGCAGCAGCGCATGCGTCTTGATCGACAAGAGACCATGTCTTTTGGTCCACAGAGAACGGCACGTGCTTCAGTGACTCCCTACACGAAGCCCCCTCAACCAGAGAATGCCGAGACAGTCTTTGAAATTGAAGACCTTGATTCAGAATCTCTTCCTTCCGGCTGGACCTTCAACCATGACTCCAAGACGCTGGAACTGAAGAGCTCCCTGAAGGACTTCTGGGAGATCAAGGGCGGATGCCTGATACGTCACCATGTGAATCCAAGATCCAAGCTCTTCGACATCCGAGATCGTCGTGACCTACCAGTTCCCGTGGAACACTTAGACGATGTGCAAGTGACGGTCTATCGAGAGCCAGGATCCAATCCTCATTCGGTGACGAACCACTTCAAGACTGAGAACATCTTCAAAAGCGTCAAGAACTCCAAGAACCCCTCACCTGTGCCAAAGAAATGGATTGGTCAGACTATTTTCCAAATCACTGCCGTGAAACGACAAGAATGGGGCATGACATCATCCTCCACAACCACATCAGCGACATCTATGCGCTTTGTGAGAAAGGCAGCCCAATCAGCCAAGACGCACCACATCCGGCAGGTGAAGAAAGATAAAGGTGAAGTTCGTGAAAAGAATCTCAATGCAGCCGAGCTCCAGCTGTTCTACGAGGCAAAGTGCAAGGAGCTGAAGAGTTTCTTTGAGAATGGTGTTTGGGAGTTCTCCTCAACCTCTGAGGCCGATCCTGATCGCACACTGACGAGCAGGATGCTTTTGAAGTGGTCAAAGAACGCCGACGGCAGCCCTAGAGCCAAAGCAAGACTGGTGGTCAGAGGATACAATGACATCGATGCCTTGTCAGGACAGCTTGACACAGCAAGCCCTACAGCCTCGAGATTGGCCAGGTCACTACTTCTGAGCATTTCTGCAATGCTTCGATGGCATGGCTGGTCAGCTGATGTCGCAACTGCCTTTCTGCAAGGATTGCCTCAACAGCGTAAACTATGGCTTCGTCTTCCTGCTGACTGCAATGCCATACTGGGATGTCAACCTGAAAGCCGCATGGCTTTGATAAAGCCTGTGTATGGACAATTGGATGCACCCAGACGCTGGTGGCTTGAAGCTAAACGTCGACTCACCCAAGAAGGCTGGCGATCCCATGAACTTGATCCTTGTCTCTTCACACTACACCATGAAGAACCTTGCGGCACCGTTCGACCTTGCGGCATGATCTGCTTGCATGTTGATGACATGTTCGGTGCGGGAGATCGCCAATGTCAAACCTACTTGACAGCTGAAAGCCGACTCAAGGAGATCTTTGACTTCCGAACCTGGCAAGAAGACTCGGAAACCATGGAGTACTGCGGAGTGACTCACAATCGCTCCGACTTTGTTTGGTCCCTCTCCCAAAAGAACTTCATCCAAAAGGTCAAACCAGTGACCATACACCGAGGCCGTGGACCAGAAGATGAAATGAATGAACATGATAGATCACAACTGCGCGCCTTGCTGGGAAGCCTACAATGGCCAGCTGTCCAAAGTCAACCTCACTTGCAATGCAGTGCGAGCCTGATCAGTGGACAACAGAAGACCAACAAGCTGAGAGCAATCATTGAAGGGAACTCCCTCCTACGCTTTGCTAAGGAGAACAGCGACGTCACCCTTCGCTATGAACCCTTCGAGTCCATTCAGTCTTGGCAAGATCTAAGCAAGGCTCGACTCAGCGTGATGTTTGATGCTGCACATGCTGTGAGAGAGGATCACTCCTCTCAGGGAGGCTACATCGCCTTCATCACGCCCGACACTGTCTTCCACGAGGAGACCTCGTACCATGTTGTTGATTGGAGATCGTTCAAACTCCATCGAGTTGCCAGAAGCAGTCTCAGTGCCGAAGCACAAGCCGCTGGACAAGCATCAGATGCTAGTGAGTACATTGCTCGATTTTGGTCGTGCATCATGAATCCCAACGTCGACCTCCGTGATCGCCTGCAAGAAAAGTCAAGCCTGTGTCCGACGTTGATCACGGACGCAAAAGCCCTGTATGATGCATTCCACAAAGAGTCATCCTCTACCAGCTCCTCAGTTGACAAAAGAACATACCTGGAGATCCGAGTCGCAAAACAGCAGGTCACTGAACTTGGTGGCAGCTTACGCTGGGTCTCCAGCGAACGGCAGTACGCCGATGGACTTACCAAAACGAGCACGAGATCCCTGTTGGCAGACCGCTTGCGCTATGGCCGCATCAAATTGGTGTGGGACCCTGGCTATGTTAGTGCAAAGAAGAAGACAAAAGAAGAGAGAGATAAGAGCAAGCAAGAGTTTGCAACAGAGCACCGCAAGAAGAGAACCACAACAACATCCACAATCCACAAACAACAACCAACCACAACAAACAACATCACACAAGCAGAACAGGAATCTGAGGAATTTGAGAAGATTCCGGTTCAAGCAGTGGCGTGGAAAAGCACTCCTTCTTCGCTGAGGTTCCCGGTTGCAGCAATGGTCTGTTACACTCAGATCAAAGCAGTGATGGCTGATGACTACTTCATCCAGGCCGTGGACGACAACGTGTGTCCAGTTGAGCAAGAGTATTTTTGGTCACCCTTGACTGTACTCTGCACGCTCCTCATGCTCCTCTCAGCGATTCTGAGCCTTGTCACCTACAAGCTTGGCAGGTTCCTTGAGCGCCGACACTGGCGCAGCTTGGTGAACACCCGAATCCGGGTGACTACGGGACGCCATGAGAGGCATGAGCTGGCCTTGAAAAACCAGCTGCAGGACCTCCACCTCCAGTCCGTGGAGAAGGTCTGCGAGCTCGAAGAAAAGCTGGCAGAGCTGTCTGTGCGCAATGACTTCCTGCGCAAAGAGAACGATGCAGTGTTGGCTGAAAACCATGCCGACCAAGACGAGCTAGCTGAACTACATGAACGGCATCGTCGCAGCTGCGCGCTTTTCACGAGAGCCTTTCGTGAAATCCAAGGGCACCTTGAGGATTGCCCATTGGAGCATGGTGTGGTAGCTACTCCTTTTGGCGCCGCCTGGCATACCGAAGAGTCATGCCGTGGAGTGGCTCGGTCCGGACGTGTCACCAGAAGGCACGTATGCAATTTTTGTTGCCCTGGAGTTCAAACTCCACATGTGACAAATTCTGTCAGCGGCACCACTTTGTTTGAAGACTTCCAGGAATTTATCCGGGAGGAAGGCCGCTGTTCGTATGAAGAATGGATTGTGGATTGAGAATTTTTCTCCACCTTCCACCGGTGTGATTTCGTGAGGAAATCGTCCACCATGTCTTGAGACCATGGTATGTTTCATGTGTTTCCTTTCTGTCCAAACCGCCCTCCACCAATAGCGGTGGGACTCGGCCGATCACTTGGCCATGGCAGCAGAAAAAGGTGCGTGACTTCGAGGGCATTGCACCGCACTTCGTCGACTTGGAACTTCGAGTGTCCAACCTCCACTTTCGTTCGCTTCGGCTACCAAGAAAGTGACAGTATATATTAATTCGGCACATGTTGGGGGAGGAGGGTGCTTCGAGGGAAGATTTTTTGAGGTTGTGTTGGAGGTGATGTTTGAGGGGTGGTGATGCAAGAAATGCAAAATGCATCATTTGCATCATCTGAATGGAAAGGTGTAATTGGCACCTTGCAAGGTATAGAGATTTAGGGTAGCCATAGTGTAGCTACAAGATATAGTACTTTAAATTCCCTTTCCGTCAATCGCTTGAGAACCTCTATACACGCACAGCAATCCACAGCTTTGAAGTCTCATTCGTGCTTTGAAC